ATACTCCAACTTTAGAATAGGAGGCCTGTGAGTTTTGTATGTAGTATCCTTTGCAGCTCTGCCACCCTTTCAATTAAACCCTAGGGCAGATATTTTGCATGAAACAACTAATGCTGTGACAGATGAGATTCTTTAAAAGCTATAAAGGAGGCCTTTGGCATTCACAACATATTCTGAGTTGATGGTTGACTTATCCCAGCCTACTACCTTTTTTTCTTAGAGGATTCCAAGACAGGTAGGAAAAAACTTTCCAATACACAATCTGTACAATTTCTATTGCCTTCGTCCTGTCCATGTACTTAGGGTTACTGAATAACCCAGTGCTTTTCCTTCTCTCTGTACTTTACCCCAATCCATTTGATGTCAGGTAATTAGTAACTGTGAGGCTACATATATCACGCCAGAAGCCTTGCTACCCCACTCTTCAGCACTGCCATCTTTGCCATCTGACCTCAGTAATCCAAATTCAGAATTCAATCCCAGAGTTCTACTTTCTATGGTAACTTCTGGCACCAAATTTGTATGAATTTCCCCACAGCAGAGTCTGAGACAGTTCATTGGTAAGGGTTATTTATTTTGGACATAATTCTAGCAGGAATGAGGGGACAAAAGAGTCAATATAAGGGGCATTATGTAGGTTGCTGCTGAGGGGAATAGGGATTGGATTATGTTGAGACCTCCTAAACAGATTATGGAATGTCTCCCTGAATTTTTCTCCCATACAGCAGGTTGGGGCAACGGTTGACCAGCACTTGTCTAATATTCTTAAGGACTTTTCCTGCGGATGTGAGGCCCCTGTAATCCTGTACTTGTATGTGGGCCAAGAGGGTTCCTGAAACTTCAGAGAAGGTAGAGAGATGCATAGCACTCTTGAGACCAAATATTGTCAATGCAAAGTGACAACTGTAGATAAAATTTGAAAAGAGCAGAGGGAATATGACATGGTACTTTATTAGTCTGTTTTCATGCTGCTAATAAAGACATATCCAAGACTAGGTAATTTATAAAGGAAAAAGGTTTAATTGACTCACAGTTCCACATGGCTGAGAAGGTCTCACAATCAGAGTGGAAGGTGAATGAGGAGCAAAGTCACGTCTTACATGGCAGCAAGAGAGAGAGAGCATGTGCAGGGGAACTCTCCTTGATAAAACCATCAGATCTCATGAGACTTATTCACTATCACGAAAGCAGCATGGGAAAGATCCACCCTCACGATTCAACTACCTTTCACTGGGTCCCTACCACGATATGTGGGAATTATGGGAGCTATAATTCAAGATGAGATTTGGGTGAGGACACAGTCAAACCATATCAGGTACCCGGGGATCAGCTATAGCTGATATCTATAGGTGACTGCTACAGATTAATAGATATATAATACAGCAATGGCTCATTATGTGTTTTTGTGGATTGTTGGCTATTGAAGCTCAAAGTATTTACTTTGAGTTTGCTAATAAAATATCTAAAGAGAAAGCTCTCATTAATGCCAATGTGTAAATCAAAACATACTAAACTAAGGAACGTCATTCACTTTTTTCTCAAAATATTTTTCCCGTATAAATTTCCTGTCTTAGTCAATTTGTGTTGCTATAACAAAATAATACAGACTAGGTAATTTATAAGCAATAGACATTTATTGCACATGGTTTTGAAGACTGCAAGCTCCAAGACCAAGGCACCTGCAGGAACAGAAAGGCAAGAGAGGAAAACTAAACCAGTTCCCTGCAGCACTTTTATAAGGCACTAATCCATTTGTGAGGGCACAGCCCTCGTGACATAATCCTTTCCCCCAAGTGCCACCTCTTATTACCACCATGATAGAGACTGAGATTGAACACATGAATTCTGGGGGACATTCAGACCATAGCATCTTTATTTCATTACTTTTGTAATTTTAATCATGATTATTTCAACTTAGGAACACTGCAATAACATTTCATTTTTAACCTTTTATTTTGAAATAATTGTAGATGCAAAGGAAGTTGCAAAACAGTGTTGTTCTATGTACTTCTCCCCAGGCTTCCCCCAATGCCACACAACTTTAATTCTATCTCCATTTCAACTTTCCAATGAGCTATTGGATTAATCTTTCAAAAGCCTACATTTAATCATGTCACTCTTTACCAATATATAATTTCTTCACTTCATCTACTATTTTGCTTTCAAGACTACTTCTTCACCAACTTTATAGGCTTAACTCCTCTTTTGGTTTAATCATTCATCAAATATTTATTAAGACCTTATCGGATGTTTGAAATACATTAGTAAGCAAGATTGGCAGAAAATTTTCTTCTAGTTGGATTGGAAGACGTATTTTGCAGCACTGTGTGGGACACAGCATTACCTTAACACCCAGATGCTTCAGTCTCTCAGAAAGCACAGCTGGTAGTCAGTACCTGACCATGGCCCTGTGTGGTTGGACTCACACTCAACTGGTAGTGAGTAACAAGAACAAAAATCTTATAATCTACAGAACCTCTGCATCTTAGAGCTACAGAAAAATGATAAAGAATAACTGAAAGGGATATAATAGTTTCCAACTTCTGACTAATGGTTTAGTCTGTGATTACAATTTAGAATGCTAGTTCAGCAGGGTGATTCATTTGAGAGAGCTCTGTCCTGATGCCTTGCTCTTCCCTGGGTGGCCGTTCATCCTTAAAATCTCCATGTTCCAAGAGTAAAGTCTTTTTGTATATTTGTTGACAGAAAAGGGAAATTTCAGGGTAGACAGAGTGCCCAGAAAGAAATCTCTAAAGAGGCTTTTGTTTTTGAAGGCCTTAGACTTACGTAAGTGATTAAACTAAGCTTATCTAAATGCAGACGTTTAGTGGTGAGGAGGGATTCTGAAAGGATGGCATTGGAACCTCCCTAGCTGGGAAGGAGGATAACAGATTTTCCAATATCACAGTGAGTTGAACCTGCCCACACAGTTCCTCTGAAGGGCTGGGCTCTGGATGGGGATGTGTGCTTGGTGGCTTGTGAATACTGAACACTGAGCTCTGTAGCCTTGGCCTGGCACCTCCTGTATTCAAACTTGGCCCACTGGAGAAAGCTTCCAGTATTGTTGCTGGCACTGGCTGGACTACAAGGATTCAAACAGGGATCCTAACACTGGCAACCAGAACCTGTCCTATTTCTCAGGATGTTTTAAAATATGAGGCAAATCCTAGCATTCTTACACAATGAAAGAAGTGGGAACAGAGCTTTAGGAACTGTCTAGTATTGAAATTCCACCAACTTAGATGTTTGGAGACTTTGGCCAATATTTTTTAAAAATGTTATTATCTGTAATCCAAGTGCCATGGAGCAATATATTTCTATTACATAATAGCTTTAAAGGGGATTAATTTAACCAAAAAGTTCTTAGTGCTGTAGAGATATTTGGCTCCATATATTCATTTTCATTCTATTTTAATAAAATAAAGCCAGCCAATTTAAATTGCTCTCTCGTCGATGTTAAGCTCCTTCCCCATTCACATGTTGGAAAACCAATATTGCCTGGTAGGAATGCAATGCGTTGACTTATGAAGTGTTAGTATGATTTGCTGCTAAGAAATTCTTATCATGTGAATTCTGGCATTTGAAGTAACTAAAACGTATAGGATAATTGCTTGAAGCCAAAGAAGGCAAATCTTTTCTGCAGCTGGCTTGTGGGAAGCAGACTACAGCAGATAATAACACGCTATTATTTCTCTTATTTTAAAAACAACCACAACAACAATTTTCTCTTCCTGCTCTGGCTTCTGCTGTTTTTCTCCTTTGCTTTAAACAAAAGCAACTCAAGAAAACTGTCTGTCATTCTTGTCTTTTCTAACACTCATGCTCACATCACTATAACTAAATTCCTTCTATCAACGTCATAGATTTCCTTTTTGCTAAAGCAAATAACCAGTTCACTATCCCTATCTTTCTTAACCATCAGCAGCATTTAACTCACAGTCCCCACTCCTCCTCCTCTCCTCTACTTGACACACTATCTTCAGTTGAATTTCAGACCCCACCCTTACCTGGTTTTTCCCTTGCTTCTCTGAAACTCCTGTTCAGTCTCTGCTGCTACTTTCTCAACACCTAGGCTCTAAATGTTGGAGATCCCAGGTCTCAGTTCTGGGTCCTTTCCTTGTTTCTACACATGCTTCCTTGGTGATCTCACACAGTATTATGGTTTTAAATACCATGAAAATGCTGATGATTCCAAATTCTGTCTCCGCTCTGGGCCTCTCTCTTGCACTCAAGGTTTTAAGTCCTACTGGCTTCTCAATATCTTCACTTGGATGCCCATTAAGCATCCTAAATAATGATGGATTTATTGAAGAAGAAATGAACAAACACCTGTACTGTATGAAGAATCCCAAGTCACAGTCCACGTGGGATATTACAGTTTGTGTTGCACAGCTGATTACAAATTTGTTTCCTCCCTTCTTCTCTGACTTCTAAATAGATGTGGTGGTGACATCCAAGTAAATGCTCAGTAAACCATGGGATTTAAGTTTTGGATAACGAAGCATTTAATCAGTAAATCTGAAAGTTTAGCAAATATTCCAAGTAAGGAAATTTGATTTAGTAGGACTTAAGGGAGGATGAAGAATTTATTCATTTGTTCAATGCATGTGTGCCAGGCTCTGTTCTAGGTACTGGAGATATAGCAGGCCATAAGAAAATCTCTAAGCTCATCAAACTTGTATTGTAGTGTGTGTGTGTGTGTGTGTGTGTGTGTGTGTGTGTGTGTTAGAGGAGGCAGTTCGAAAGAACAGAAAAAAAAACAAAACAAATAAATGTACAATAGCCCGGTGATGAGAAGGGCTATGAAGAGTAACAATGGAAGGAATGGGGAATAGTATAAAGTGGCATAGTATTCAAATAGGATGATCACAGACCGCCTGTGTGGAGGACTGAAGTTTTAGCTAAGCCTTCAAGAAAGAGAAGGAAAAAATCATGCATATTCCTAGGAAAAGTGTTTTCAAGGCAGTGCATAAGTGAGGCAAATTCTCTAGAGAAACAAACAACAGGGTGGTAAGATGGCGGCTGCCGCGGAGTGCAATGTGGTAATGGCGGCGACCGAGCCAGAGCTGCTCGACGACGAAGAGGCGAAGAGGGAAGCAGAGACTTTCAAGGAACAATGAAATGCATACTATGCCAAGAAAGATTACAATGAAGCTTAAAATTATTATACAAAAGCCATAGATATGTGTCCTAAAAATGCTAGCTATTATGGTAATCGAGCAGCCACCTTGATGATGCTTGGAAGGTTCCGGGAAGCTCTTGGAGATGCACAACAGTCAGTGAGGTTGGATGACAGTTTGGTCCGGGGACATCTATGAGAGGGCAAGTGCCATCTCTCTCTAGGGAATGCCATGGCAGCATGTCGCAGCTTCCAGAGAGCCCTAGAACTGGATCATAAAAATGCTCAGGCACAACAAGAGTTCAAGAATGCTAATGCAGTCATGGAATATGAGAAAATAGCAGAAACGGATTTTGAGAAGCGAGATTTTCAGAAGGTTGTTTTCTGCATGGACCGTGCCCTAGAATTTGCCCCTGCCTGCCATCGCTTCAAAATCCTCAAGGGAGAATGTTTAGCAATGCTGGGTCGTTATCCAGAAGCACAGTCTGTGGCTAGTGACATTCTACGAATGGATTCCACCAATGCAGATGCTCTGTATGTACGAGGTCTTTGCATTTATTATGAAGATTGTATTGAGAAGGCAGTTCAGTTTTTCGTACAGGCTCTCAGGATGGCTCCTGACCATGAGAAAGCCTGCATTGCCTGCAGAAATGCCAAAGCACTCAAAGCAAAGAAAGAAGATGGGAATAAAGCATTTAAGGAAGGAAATTACAAACTAGCATATGAACTGTACACAGAAGCCCTGGGGATAGACCCCAACAATATAAAAACAAATGCTAAACTCTACTGTAATCGGGGTACAGTTAATTCCAAGCTTAGGAAACTAGATGATGCAATAGAAGACTGCACAAATGCAGTGAAGCTTGATGACACTTACATAAAAGCCTACTTGAGAAGAGCTCAGTGTTACATGGACACAGAACAGTATGAAGAAGCAGTACGAGACTATGAAAAAGTGTATCAGACGGAGATAACAAAAGAACACAAACAGCTCCTTAAAAATGCACAGCTGGAACTGAAGAAGAGTAAGAGGAAAGATTACTACAAGATTCTGGGAGTGGACAAGAATGCCTCTGAGGACGAGATCAAGAAAGCTTATCGGAAACGGGCCTTGATGCACCATCCAGATTGGCATAGTGGAGCCAGTGCTGAGGTTCAGAAGGAGGAGGAGGAGAAGTTCAAGGAAGTTGGAGAGGTCTTTACTATCCTCTCTGATCCCAAGAAAAAGACTCGCTATGACAATGGACAGGACCTAGATGAGGAGGGCATGAATATGGGTGATTTTGATCCAAACAATATCTTCAAGGCTTTCTTCGGGGGTCCTGGAGGCTTCAGCTTTGAAGCATCTGGTCCAGGGAGTTTCTTTTTTCAATTTGGCTAATGAAGGGCAACCACCCAGAACCCAGAAAATGCAGATTCACTCAGTTTAATCTTGAATGTGGAAACAGTTCACCTCCTCCCTTCATCACGTCTCCATGTACTTAGAGCAGTTTCGTTTTCTCAGTTGGATTCCCTGTGTCTCTGTGAGTGGGGTGGAGCAAAGGGAACCAATGCCGAAGACCGCGGGCAGGGGAGGGAGGCGGGGGTGGACAGGGAGGCAGCTTGTGAATTTTTGTTTTACTGTTTATTAAAAAAGAAAAAAAAAAAAGAAACAAACAACAGACTCTTTCATGTGTCTCTAAGGCACAGTGCCCACTATACAATTCTCAAATGCTGTTAGGCTTTGTCTGGTACCCTTCTCTATCAACCCTATGCATACTGGAACAGGGAGATCTTTGCAAAAGTATCCAGCACATCTGCAAAAGTATAGAAGATATGTGATTTTTGTTTCATTTACATAATAGATTCTCTTTTTCTGTATCCAAAAAAAAATGTTTATCTAGGTAAGAATGGTAACACAAAATGATCGCCAAGCCATCTTAATGGAAGCATCCATCAAAACACAGTGTGATATTGTCTGTGGATACACGATGCTGCGGATGAGTATGAACACAGATAGGCAGGCTCACTTCAGTTTCTGTGTAAAGCTCAGCACAAAGCGTTTTCTTGAGGGCAGAACCTCTGTCATACTGTGTTCACGTCCACAAATGTGGCACCTGGCTGTGGATTTGGACAGGTTTTTCTTTTACCTTCTCTTCTGAAGAACAATTTAAATCAACCTAAATCAGACTATTTCAATATATCTTTCCCTCTTGTTACACAAAGCATCCTATTTTCGTATTATTTAATTCTGAGTTGCATGCTCTGGCAATTGCTCTTCCAATGTTTAAATCTTATTGCACAGCAAGGCACTGTTTGTTGATCACTTTGGAGTGTGAAGATTATGACTGAAAAACACAATTATCTATGTTATGTGGCTGAAAAGAAAAGCTGTCCTCATCTTTCTGAGAAACTCATTTTCTTAGACAAAGCATCCAACAGAGGGATAAAGGTACAAAGTTCCTTGCCAGGCAGTGAGGTTGGTGAAATCACACAAAGCAATCAGTGAATGGAAACACGATCCAGCCCAATAATCCAGTTTCCCATATTGATAAAGATTTTTAGACAAGGTTGTCTATCCTAGAGAAAGTGGACTAACTGAAGTGAGTTGAACTAGTTATTTGTATACAAAGCTATTGTTTCTTAAATTCCTGACCTGGCTGTTGCGAATGGTTTTGGGGAGTTCTTTGGTTCTTTCATTTCTTACTTTATCTTGTATCTAAATAAAAACAATCTGCGTATGATTTCTTTGTAGTACTTTATGCTGCAGGGTTTCAAAAAGCCATAATGAAGCACATTGTCACTAAAATTCTCTTCACATATCATCTTTTGAGTTATTCTGTTAAAAAAGCTCTCAGTAACCTATAGTAAAAATTATTAAAATCCTCTCCATTGTAGAGGTTAAGAAAGTGATAATTAAGACTCTCTGGTAGATCCCTAAATGATAAATAGCATTTTAAAACAAATTGGAGGTCAATGTATATTTTAGAGAGTTAAATACATTGAGCATAATGAGCTTACATAGGCCCTCCAGACTATATTTTATAATAAACTCCCACTCGCAAATAACAAGAAATTTCTTCTTATGCATATGTGTTTTTATGATGAAATCATTGGTTTTATGTAAATCTCCTTCTGCTTGATTAGCATGATTTACTTCATTCAACTTGATAGATTATATTAACAAGGGATGGAGCAGGGGACTGTGTACAGTGCCTAGGCAATAAATCTAGGATCGATTTAAATTTTATATCCAGTGATTAGTAACATTTACCAATAACACTTAGCTTGCTATGTAAAATACTATAGAATTTTACTTTCATTTGCACATTGGTAAAATGTACAAGAAATCATAGAACTATAGAGATGGAGGGAAAGCCTCCCATCTACCGTCTCTGAAGTTTCATTGAAATGAATGACAACTGACAGATTAAGAGGAAAAGGGGCATAAAAATTAATTAACATTCATAAGCCTAGAAACTATATAAAATAAGAGACTCAGAGAAAAGCTAGATGGTTGAGGCTTATATGCCCTCTTCATGAGGGAGATGAAGATGGGGAAAATATAGCCAATTTGAAGGACTGTAAATAATTTTAGGGGAACTTAAATAGCCCCAAGAACAGACAGTTGGCTTGGGACAAATTTCCTCTGAGCTCTGGGGGAGTTGGTGGCAAATTGCAAGAAGGTGAGGGGCGGAACTTCGCTGTAAGCAACGGTTGTCTTACAATGCCGATAATCTCCCAAGTAATCTCTAGGAGCTACACTTAGGATAAAAAATGAAAGTCTATCCGGGTATAGTGATGATTTTTAGTGATTAGTCTTTTCTGCTTATTAGATGAAGTTCCTAAGGAGGGACTATTAAGACAATTGCATTTCTAATGCTGGAACTTTCCTTCATCAGATAAGGAAATTTCCTCCTAGTACTCAGGGAAGAAAGAAGATCAGAGGGGCAGGAGTGCAGGAGAAGGTTAGAGAGAGACCTTAGTTCTGAGGCTTATTTCTGAGGCCTTTCAACTTCCTTTAACTCAAAGCAAGAAGCATGCCAAAGTGTCATACTTTGGGATATTATTTTCTGAGCCGCAAAACAGCTTAAGTAAGAAGAATAAAACAAATCAGGTACAGAAATTTTTAAGATAATCACACAGTTCCAGACTCCCTCCTCATTCTGCCTGTGCAAGGAATTCCAGCTTTGTCTGGTCCTATTTCCTATTGTTTCCTACCTTTCACAGAAAAAGTTGTCAGTTTTTTAAACTCTTGCGAGCCAGAATTTGAAGAAGCTGGGGGGAATGGAGGAGCAATACAAGGACAAAAAGTCCTGAGGGCAGGAATGAGAAATGCCCTAAAAGTCCACCTTTCCTGGTTTAGATTCCACGATCCATCACCCTTCATTCCTTAAAAATCTCCATGGTACTGGTCTGACCAAACTCAACTGTAAGTAATTCAATCTGTGCACATACTCCCTAAAAGGCAACTATGAACAAAGAAAAATATAGTCATGTTTACCTACCTTATTTTAAGTGTTTATAACTAATCTCCACTTGTGCCTTAACACTGCCCTTCAATCACTGATTTCCCTAGTTAGTAAACTCTTCCACTTTCAGACCCTCTCCCCGTTTTCTAGTCATCAACATTCCCTTCACATCCTCACTCTCAGCTGATGAATATGCTTATTTTATTTAAAACTTGAAACAATCAGAAAAAAAACATACTCGTCCTTCCTCTACCAAACCTTCCTATTTGTGTATGGACCCAAATAATTTACCCTTCTTTGGGTTATACGAATGAACTCTTCTGAGCCTCTCTACATTAATCCCGTCATTTATGTATGGAATAACATTTGTTATTTCCTACCTAAGGATTTTATTCCTACAAAAGTTCTCTCCCTCTCTCTTCTTCCTCTTCTTTACCCCTCCCCACGTCCACAATTTCCTCCACTTTACCATCACTTAAATTGGAATAACATGAATTATCTTTCATTTTAAAACAAAACATCTGCTAGACCCTACATTTTCAACTCTGCTGCCTGATTTCATGTCTCCCTCTTACAGAAAAACCTTTGATAATGTTTTATATTTGCTGTCTCTACACTTCCCCCTTCCATTCTTTCTAGAAACTTTTCCAAGCATGCTGAAACTACTTCAGCCGATGTCACTCAAGCCCTCCAACTTTCCAAAGGCAATGCCCAGTTTCTAGTATTGATCATACTTAACTTTCTGCAGCATTTGGCACAGTTAATTTCCTTCTCTCATTCTTGAAATGCTTTCCTAATGTGGCTCAAGGGATACCACACTCTCCATGTTTTGCTCCTACATCTCTGGAATCTTCTAATAGAATGAAAGATTCTCTTCGTCAGTTTCATTGGAGCTCCCTCCTTTCCTGACCTTTAAATGTTGGCATGTCCAGGGTTTATTCTTCCACATGGCATCTTTAGGTAATCTCCTCGGGTTTTATAGCTCCTTAACATGTAATTCACACTGATAACACTGATGACTTGATGATGTCTTAGCTCCAGACTAAAAAAAATCCACCTGCTTAATAAATAGATCTAATATAATATCCAACAATTAGTTGCAATTTATATACTTAAAATATGACACAAGATTTCCCCTCACCCTTGCAAACAATTGCTTTCAAAAGTCTCCAACTCTACTCCACCATGCTTGAATCTAAGACTTTTTGGAAGTAACTGAGTATTTTTAACTAAAGGATATTATCAGGTTTTCCTTAAGAGTGCATCTTTTTTCCTTTAATGATTTCTTATTTAGAAATATATTGTACTTTCACACTTTGATGAGCTTTAAGAATTGTTTTAATGGTGGATACAACACAGTGATACTCAGAAGAAAGCAACTCTGTTACTTTCATCCTCAAATGAGAGAACCACACAAGGAACTGCACCAGGAGACAGGGAACAGCAAACTGGAGCTACTGTGAGGGCTGCTGATGTATGGCAGCTACAATGGGGTTCCCTAGGCTTCTCTGCATCTCTGTGGACTGGCTATTTTGAATAATGTCCAGGGCTCTGAGCTCCAGGGCATAGGCACTCTCTCTAGTCGTCTAGTAACTGGGACCAGAGAAATTAGGGCAGGTGCTTGGTGGCCCAGAATGTGAGAACTGGATAAGGGGGGTGGTTGGAGTGTGGATTTAATCAGCTGCCCAAGAAGGGGAACTGACAGTCACTAGTTAGGGCCTCAAAACTGGGTCAAGACAACATTAAAGAGAATAATTTAAAAAAAAAACTATTACACTTGGCTTAGTATTCACACAGACACTAACACACACACACATACACACACCACCTCCCCAGATGTATCTATATCTCTATCTACATGTAAAGATTTGTTAATTAATCTCCACTTGATCTTTTCTTTCTTTTCTGTCACCTTTAGGTTTCTATTCTAGTTTGCTTGGTTAAGACACTTTACT